GCCGTCATAATAATGAACACACATCGCTGCTCTGGGCAAAAGAAACTTCAAAACAAAATGACAAAAAAATGCATAAATATCAGCTTTAGTGAAACAAAATTGTCAGACATTTACCTATGCCCCGCCTGAAAGAATAATAGATGAACAAAATTATTATGTAATAAATTGAATCAAGAAGAATTTTCTTGAGCTGAATGTGACATATGTCAGTATACTATACATATTAAAATGAATGTGTATGCACTCTCGAATACAGTCTTGTATGTTGTTAAGGGTTCGTCAAAACAGTATACCCAATAACTAGAAACCCATTGTGAAACTACATGTATTTCAAAACTGTACAAAGTAATCATTTTCTGGGGGTTTTTTTGGCGAATATTTAGAAAACTAAGAAACAAAGTCAGTGAAAAAGTTGATTTGAATTGGGAAAAAAAGTGAAAGGTTTTTAAAATTTGTGAAAAGTTTTGAAACAACAAAATGGTTGGGGAAAGTTTCAAATTCATCTTAGATTGTTCAAGCGGAAAACTGTTAGTTTTCGTTAGGATTACTCAGCCTGTTTTCCTGAGCATCGTAATCGTTTATTTGACAGCTAATGGAAGTAAAGGTCAAAGTTTGACCAATGCATATTGCAATCTTGTAAAGAAAATTGTGCAGGTTGTCGTAATGTAAAATGAAACCAAGCAGAGTTTCATTAATGTGCATGTGATGATTGTACATATATGTTCATTGTAAATAACACCTGATGTTAGAAAACATCAGCTTATTGCCGTTCTATGCTTATAACAGCAGATGGAAGACAACTTCTGCTTTTGGAACGAGGTTCCTTTGTAAGATTATTTTCTTCATTCCGTAGCTCTATAGTTTTTAGCTATACCATGTGCCTTCCATGTGAACGAAAACTAACCAGGATTCAACTGTACTCAGTCTAAATGAAATATTAATTCACGGTCCATTCCATAGCTGATGTGGGGGAGTTGTGCTTTTGGAACTGTTTGTACCCACCATGTTTTTGTTTGGCTTGTTGACCAGCTCATGCAAGAAACTTCTGATTTTAGAACGAGATTAATTTTTCAAGATATACTCGCAGATATAGTAATGGCTTCATCAGGAGGTCTTTCTATACTTGGCCTTTAAAATGAAACCAGGGTTTCCACCATTTTTGTGCGAGATACTCAAGTAACCTGACTGTCGGGTTTTTTTAATCAGTAAAACGTTTGTATGTCCTGGAATTGTTTACATGTATTTACTTCTTTGGTTGGAGTTTTATGTAAATGTTTAGTTAATATGAATTATGAAATGAAGGTTTCCAAATTATTACCTAGTCATTCTGACCTGGATACATGTAATTAATGATTACTCGAATGAGATTATTGAAGTTGATTTCTGAGCACTAAGTGTTGATTTCCAGCACTTGACATCATTGTTTGTAGAAAAATTCACAAACTATTTGTGGCTTCGATGCAAGAAAACCTTAGTAATCATGCAGCACATGTTTTCATTTCTTTTTTCGTTTTTTATTCTGAAATTTAACCTGTATGACTGGAATAACTATATGACTTCTTTATTTTTGGTTGCCTTTTTATCAACCGTTCAGTTGAATTATTTCGCATTTAGTGAACAAAAATAAACTGATATCAGAGATGTTTCTGTTTACATTGTTTAATACAAAATGAAGTTATTTAATCATCAAGCCTAAATTTGTACCCTGAAATATTCTGTTTTTAAACCACAACTTGCTATAGTGCATTTCTATTTATTTGTGTGTGTCTTGGGTCCTAATTCTGGCTGTTATCTCTAAAGTAGGATCTTTGGCTGCAAGTTCAAAGTCGATTCCTTCTTTATAAATTCATCGCCTTCTAGTGAAGTTTGATATCCCTTCCCCCTCACATTCTCCTCCGTCGAAGCGATAAGCCCGGCTCTCTGTCTGTACAGTATTATAAATTTTATTATCGACTGCTGTCCGACTGCTGTCTTGCAATAGACCACAAAAAGTGTCTCCTATTTCAGCACTGGGACTACATGTATATCGCTCCTTCTTTATAGACCTTATGCAGCATCCATCTTAGAGGGCAGTGTCTTTGTTTTGTTGGAATATCCATGAATGAACTTTTCTGTGCATTCATTGATACTGAATTGAAATAACAACAGATGCCCTCTAAGATGACCGCTATGCAAAAGGTCTATGAACATATTTTGCGGGCTGGACAAATCAGGCGTTAAAGTGAAAGGAGCTGTGTCAATTTTACTCATCCCCGACACCCCCGTTCCGAAACCTAGACACGCCACTGCCCTACACCCAATGTGTAGTCTAGTATTGATAGGGAATGGTCCGTCCTGTCATCTTAGGGTGCACCCCAGTATATAAATTGCAATAGACACCTGTGATAATCCCTATTCTCTTTTTTTAAGATACTCGGAACTCTCACAGGTGTTCAGGCTGCGCAGAAAAATGATGATCAACATGTCATCTTTCATTTTTCCTTTCACTTTTTTGGCGGGTTGACCAGTGACTTTTTGAGAAATTATCAGCCAAAGAAGACCAAACCTAAAACGAATGATATTTTCCCAATCCAAAAAAGTAGCCATTTTTGAAAAGGATCCCTCCACAACATGGCTAAATAGCGCAACTTTCGGACCCAACTGCATCCAAAATGCTCCGAATTGGAAGCTCCAAGTCCAAGCCAGAGGTGCAGTACCATTATTTCTTCAATCCCCCAATTCCTTGGCTCTCAGAACTCAATAATAAATAATAATTAGAATGTATAATAATTATTCGTGACTGATTCGTGGCCTATTTACTGGGTTGCACCCCTCAGAGGCACACAAACTCTATGAGGATTCATTGACCTCAAATAACTTGCCAGCCACCGTTCAGCACGCTGTTTGAAGGGCGACCTCTATTGGTCTATCATCGTCATTCACTTAAATTTAAAGGTAAAGTGTGGTAATGTGCGCCCTCTATCATAATAATTTAATCACCATCGTCCTCGTTTTCAGTTTCTTTTGTATTAAAGTCTCCTGATTTGACGCTTGTCTTTTTTTAACTCAGTCACCATCGACCATTACAATCAAAGCAATTTCCTGTCGACAGTTTTGTGGTATTGACATAAATAACCAGCAAAAAGTGCAGGTCATATCGCTTTGGCAGATCGTAACAACTTGATGAGGACCAAGTATTGCTAGGTTCAGATATAATTATTACAGGTTCATTCCTAGAGTGAGGATAAATAAGTAGAGGGAGATGTTTAGTGGCCCGTCTGTCTAAACTAGCAGAAGGATTCACACAGTATCAAACCACGACGTGACAACATAGCTGTTTATTTCACACAGATTAATGCTACTACATGTCGTAGGAAATTCATTCATTTGTGACATTTAGCAACAATCCCTACAGCAAGACCAACGGAATATTGTGCACGAATAATAACATCTGCTACAAAAACGAAAGGTTCAGAATAATGGTAATTTATGTCAAAATTAACCAAAGGCGAAGCTGACTAGTGAACTACTCATTTTTTGTAGACTTAAAAAAATAATTGGACGGGTAATTTAATAAACAAAATAAGGCAAGTGCATTTTTGGTGGATACAAGTATGAAGCGTCTGTAATCTGAGGATAATTATTTTGATTATCCGCAAAACTATAAAAAAAAAAAATAATAATAATAGTAATAATAATAATAAATAAATAAAGTACACAAACATGGGGAAGTGAATATCAACCAGATAGCAGAAATATGCTTATTTGGAAATGGATCGGAGTATTTACAAAGAAATCGTAAGATTTGCATTCATGATAAGTGTACATTGTTTAAATTTACTCTGTACATATGGCAAATGGTTCACCCATCACCTGGCCCAATGCTATAGGCCATTTGTCCTGTGACGTCATAGCAACGGACAAACCGACGGGTAACCCAAACATTTTAGCATCTTTTGTGTGTTATTTTGCCCACATTAAACAGTTGACGTCACCACTTTTACGTCAATCTCATTTAAGAGATACACATGCAGTGCAGTTTGCTGAAAGCTGGTGACCACAATATCCAATTCGTAAATGCAATATAGTGCAGGCCCAATAGACCGTTTGCACAGTAGCCATGTTGGAGGTGTGTGCTTTTGTGTTCAACAGGAGTGCGCATGAGTAGATCTATTGTGCATTTATTGTTAATGAATTAACATAACAAAAAACCTCCAACATGGCTGCTCAATGCAGTCCATCTACAGAAGACCTTAACATGACGACACACCCACAAAGTGTGCAACTAAGTTCATACCAATTAAATCCTTTCAACAAAATCACCTCTAACAGGTGCTTCATAGTCACAACAAATGCATAGGAGAAGGGGATGAGTGTTTGTGGGACCCTAGCGAGGTGCTGGACAAAACAGTTTTTTTAATTTTATACAATCATCAATCCGTTTCATTTTTTTTTTTGACAATGTGGAGTCCAGGTATTTAAGGTGATCAGTAAATTATGAAACACGGGAATGCCGTATTTTTAGCCGTTATCAGTATTAAGTTCAAGCAATATACAGAATTCCTTAATTCAAATCATTTTACTATTTTTATCAAATAAATCTCCCTACAAAATTATTCTCTGTTCTTCCTACGCAGGATTTGATATTCACACTCTTTCATCAAACGTCTGTGTCTTTCAATTTAAAGACTATGTATACTAGGATCATTTACTTTTGTGCATATTCATTTATGTACTTTTCGTGCATGTTTTTGTTTGAAGCAACATTGGTCAAAAATCTCAGAAATGGTGCATAACAATAACTTATTTCACCTCAGTGGACAATTTACATTGTGAGAAAACAGAGAAAAAGAACTATGCACAATTGTTGTCTCGTTTACATACTGGACTCCGTCGGTTAACACACATATGCGTGTGCCCGCTGGCACACTTTCATAAAACACCTTTATATGATTGTTTCCTTCCGAATTATACCGTTTTGTATGGGTATTTGGTGCTAGTCCTATCCTCACTTTGAGTACGGAATTTCTCGTTAGATCGATAGTTACAATTGCAGTTAATTTCAAGTGTTCCCGTAGTTTTCGGATTTGCATTTACAAAGGCCGAATCTGCCCGACAGAGGCAGAACCAACAGCGCCCCCAACGGTTTGCGAGATAGTTGCAGCTAATCGTGCAGGCGAAGCCATTGCACCGGCAGCCGCTACCGTACGCGTACTGTGTACATCTTGTTGCTGCTTGGGTACGAACTTGACAGCGTATAGCTTGGTCATGTAGACACACACCAGGGTCAGATAGCCATTTAGCAAGACCGCTGCGCACAAGGTTGCCACTTTCTGTACGACCGCTACGGCCGTCACGTAGACTGGTACTGTGGCCAGGCAGACCACCAGGGTAGAGTACACGCTCACGGCGATGAACTTGGACTCGTTGTAGTTGTCGGGTACCCGCCTCGTCATGAAGGCGTAGTAGCAACAGACGAGGATGAGAGCGAGGTTGTAAGCGCAGGAGGCGAGGAACTCGTAGCTGAAGGTGCAGTAGAGTTCGAGGTAGTCGACTGGAGTCACGGGAACCGTAACTTGTGCTTGGACTGGACTGACGCTGGTCGATACAACGATTATAAGTATCTGTTGATAACAGGAAAAGGAAACAGAAGAGCACATTGAGATATGTGTTTAATGCACCATGTGCTCATGTCGCCTGGCTGTGTTGACACCTGTCATATCACCATGGCAACCAATGCTAACTGACAAGTGGCAACTTCTGGAATGTTTTCCCATATTGATTTTGCTGTGATTTGTTTTTGATGTCAAGGTAAGCAGTGGCAGATCTGCGGGGGCATTACAGGGCTCTAATCGCACTCCCTTCGGCCTTATGGAAAATCTTGCAGAACAAAGCAGCAAATACAACCTCCTCTTGATACCCTGTGGAGCAAAACATTGATCCGCCCCTGGATTGAATCAGATATGTCTGGTTGTGATTGGATGAGGCTTCAGATAACATTCTTGGCAAAGTGTCAAGCTTTGTTTCACCAAAACATAAGGCAGGAAAACGAAATAAAGCGACATAATACCAAGAGCCTTTTACGCAAACTCAATCAGTTATTACCCCTAATCACTTAGCTTATGAAACATTCGAAAAAACCATCTCAGGTCCCAGGTATATACAGCTTGATGCTGCCATTTCGGCGCAAAGCAGCTAAAATCAACCATAACCATATCTGCCCTCACAGGTACCCACTTACTCCTGGGTGGAGAGAAGCAGTGAGTGACAAAGTGTCTTGCCCAATTAAGGGCACACGCACTATCACCCAGGTTGGATTCGAACCCATGACCTACGGAATAGCTTTTTGAGACAAACTTCTCGTCTCCCTATCGTTCACACAGACCAATACAACTAATGCTTAGCGGGCCTTAGCGGCCTCCTAAATGGCATCTCTTGTTATTTTATTTCAGTAAAAATGAATGCAGACAAGGTCCACGCTTGTAGCAAAACAACGGCATGGCCCTGTAAGATGGCTGCTACGCATACGGTCTATTGAAGGTCGGTACACGTAGAATGATCGTCGATGTAACTACAAAATTATGCCCATCAGGGACCATTTTCTGGCATCGTACACGTACACAACGGCGTGACGTCATTCGAACATGACAACATGCATGCTTGGTAACTGTGCATTCATGCATTTGGTAATTTCAATTCAATGTGACAGCATATCGAAGTGAATAGATAAACAAAATTTGAAAATTATATGCATGGATCTATGGAATAATTTCGAGTATATTGTGGTGAATCTGACAGCGAAACAAATTAACGTCTCCAGAAGAGTCACCATTCACATGAAAAACATAGGTATTCTTTAAAATGTAATTAAGTTCTCATTGTGAATAGGGAATGTGTCATTTTGGACTAAAATTTTCACCAGAATATGCTATCCACTTGCTACCCATATTACAGTAATTGAGTGCCACTGCCAACGGCCCATACTCTATTTTATTAATTTGAAAGTTTAATCGTGGAATACCGAACAGGTGTATTTTCTATTAACTCAGTTATAAGACCAGCTGCTCGAATTTTTTTTCATAATTTTTTTTATTTTATTTTGTATTTTGTATTTTTTTGCTTTGTGTTTTTATTCTTCTGCGAATCATTACCTCCCTTTACTGATGAGCATACGTACTCCATTTTAAATTGAGGCTTTGAAAGCTAATGGGTCAATCTTTTAATTTATATACAAAGTACATGCCCATCCGACTACATTTAATGATTTTATTGATCTGACTTTCAAGCACGGGGAGCTAATCAGGATATTTCCTCTCAGACAATGAAGCTTAACTCATCCAAACTATGAGCCTCGGGCGACCATTATTGTACGAGGAAAGTGAATGCTTCTGCCAATCAGGCGAAAACTAGCTGCTGTCGATTGGTACCGTCAAAACGCGGCGTAGGCCCTCATAAACTTCTCATGGACACTTACTAATTCTCGACATTGAAAGCGGAAAATGAAAATTGCAAGAAATCCAAAGTGACAAGAGGACGTACAGAGATGTGCCTTAAAAGTGGTTCAATAATACGCCGTATGTGAGTGACGTCCTATCCAATTCAATTCAATTCAGTTTTCAATTGATGCATATAGCACGCTATATATTATCATGAACAGTAGCACATATCGGGTATAGCAGCTAGTGCCCCCCCCCCCCCCCATACCTAGCTTTTTCGGAGATGCCACGGTAAGTTTAAAGTCAGTCCCCTTCAATGACTAAGTTTATACAAAAGTACTTAATAACATTTGAGAAAAGCATTGATTTGATAAAATTCTGAAAAAATGGGCTTAATTGCTTGGGGCCGTTGAAAAGAAATCACAAATCACATGTGCCAAGAATCCAGTTTTGACATGAAACCAATGTCATCCATTTCCTGGGCCAAAAAGCATACAAAAGCAACTCATTAATTGCGATGCGAAATAGTTCGTTTTTTACAGATTTGAAAAGAGCACAATCTCAGCATTACTGATGTGAAAACCGCATGCTGGTACCATCTTTAGTTCGAAAATTATGGAGGTCGGAACACCAAGAGATGTGATGAAGTGATGTGATAAAGTCCCTATTTTGGCCTGAATCTCCATATGAAAGTTCCTGACAAACGATTCATTTAGCTTGATCACATCACAATATTGTTGTGTCAATTTCATTAGAGCAGAACAAGAGTTGGCTCTAACAACACAATCCTGACTCTCTAAGGACATGTTTGCGTTGTCTAATCGTGACGGTGCAGACCTAATTGAAACGACACATGATCGATATCGTTAGTGGTTGCACCAAACCGAGATGGGTTGATTATGATTGTTTTGCGGGGTTTTATTTTTTTTGGGGGGGGGGGGGGAGGGGTAGTGGTAGAGACAATGGAGAACGCTTTTTAACCTTCTAAGGGGTCTGAAAAAAATACATGTACTGGGTGAGTCAAAAAGAAAATGACCGAATTAGAAAATAAAAATATGTGGCTCGCTCAATTTCATAAAAATAACATTAGGGACAAAGTACATGTTATGGACTAATAACTGAGAAAATTCCACGTAATTTGCAATTTCTAATCCCAAGTTATGTCTTTTTTCGTAAAAGTTAACCAAATTCAGCTGACTACCGCAGCTGATCGTTTACCGTTCTACGAACTGATGAATACCCATTAAATACATTGAAACATTGAAGTTTTCCCACCTCCATGAATGAACGAAACTTGCAAAAGGAAAACAGACAAAAATTGCCATTAATATTTCAGGGAAAAAAGTTGACTCATAATTATTCCAAACACAAAATCTGACCGTAAAAGTAATGTTGCAGTTTTGACTGCATTAAATGATTAAAATCTCATTTGTATTTGAATGCCTGTGTGTAATCTGTAATTCTCACTCAGCTCTGTGGATTCCAATGGCATTCCATGGACAGCTATAAACAAAAAATAGGTTCCTTTAGTAATACATGATTATTTCATCCAAAAAGATCTGAGATCGCGGATACCGTAATCCAAACATCAACAAACTCTTAACAGTTCTTATAATCCGTTTTTGCATATCATGCATTTCCTATAATCCATATACATGATACATAAAATATGTTAATGACATTGCACATTTGTATTTTGGAGTTATTAATTTCTGAGTCTGAACATGTAATCATCGAGAAAAAAATAACAGCCCGATCTACCGATAATAGGCTTTTGTGTAATATTCAGTAGCCCAAGCAATGCAATATGTTATTTAAAAAAAAATCAAGTTCCCAAATGATAATACTGTTGTATAAAGATATTAAAAAAGGGACTAAGCAAAGGGTTACCAGCTAAAACGTCCGTATGATATACATTGATTTTGACTGGTTCTCGGCTGTTTTTTTAAATGGCTCGCTCGGCAATAATGAACAGCTTGGCAAGTGCCGTAAAACTGGGACCTTCTATGAGATATAGACGTTTTGCATAACGGTCATGTTGCAGGTTTATTTTATTTCAGTGACAACGACTGCAAAAACAACCCACCCATGTCTTATCCACGAATATAAAAGCAGTGTCCTATAAGATAGTCGCGAAGAAAGAAATGACCTTTTTGAAATTCAAGGACGTATTAAAGCTCTTGATATTGCTCAAAAGAGAGTGCGCAGAATGGGTCTGTATCGGACCGCTGTTTTTCAATCGCCGTAAAAATCCTCTTATTTTCAGCTTCACTCAATTTCATTGCAGTCTCTGTTAACCAATTAATTTGCTGAGAGTTTTCAATTTCGCCAAAGGAAAATAACAGAAAGGGGCTCGGCCATTGTCTCCTCAGTGTATTCCTATACCTTAGACCCACGTGCATGGATCTTTCAATTTAATCAACTGTACTTTAAAAGGCAAACCGATGCCCGATTGGAACAGTGAAAAGTTCTATGGTTTTGTCTTTGGCATCTTCGATGCTTTTCAATACATAATTGAACTCATGTCATACTTCAAAAATTTAATTAATGAGAAATCTTTAAAATCTTATTCTTTATTGCCGCATTGATTCAGCTGTTTGTTGCATTGTACGATCATGGAAATTGAAGGTTATTCAATTTGTATAAGAGTATAGTATACATTGTTTCATTGATCTAAGCTACAATTAATTAATTAATTCTGAACTAATCTTGAGGGTCATGATATACAAAGTGCATTATGATGAAGTACAGGATTCCCAACTCAAATAAGGGCCTTACTTTGGAATACAAAATTCAAAGAAAACCCTAATGGAATGACTGCATAGTACACCACTGAATATCGGCCTTTTAGAAGATATAATAATTTCATTAGATTCTTTTAATTAAATCTGTTTTGTAAGAAGTATGCTTTTTGTGTTGCCGGGATTTTTTCCCGCCCCATTCACATAGAACTTTTCATTGCTTTTGATGCCAAGTTTGATTTTAAGAAAGTTGTCTTTTGGGGTACAACTTTTAGAATTGAAATTTAATCATTGCAAAGTGGTCACACTCCTCAGGGGCTACCGTATAAATCATATTGTCTCTAAAAACGACGGGTGCAACTCATATAACTTTCACTCTGGATTTTTGTTACACTTGTCTAAGTAGTATCGGCTGAAGGTATCATTACACCCAACGGTTGTCATAATAACAAGTAACTTTGTAACGATAAAAACGGAACCCCTGTCTTACTAAGATGTAAAATGGTTAATTCAGTAACATAACATTGACGAATTTTAAAAAAGTTTATTGTCATTTATGTTTTATAACTTTAAGCCAAGTAGATACGGGGGTAATAAACCCTTGAGAATATAATTCGGCAAGAAATAGTTCTTCTATTATGGCATAGACGTCCGCATTTGCGAGGAGTCATTTTCAACGATCGGAGATCATCTAGTCCCAGCCCCCGCCCCCAACAATAGACCGCCCATAGAGCCCCGTGGTCTTATCTATGTCCAACAGCCTTTTTCGTTGAAATTTGATGAAATACAATACGTATATTGTGAATATCGACTGAAGTCCGACTTGAGTCAAGTCTAGGTAGTGTTGTATCGTCAGCATGACTTCCTCTAACTTAACTGTTTCTATCTAATAGGTTCTCTATTGAATTCTGTAATCAAATGAGTACGAGGATGGAAAGGCGTATATAATATTTCTGCTGTTCCACGCACAAAAATTATGAATGCTTAATTTCACCACTATATTTTCCCCTAACGAAATGGTGTCAGGGCTTTTTCTCTTTATACAGCGCATATAATGGGCACGATACAAGGTCATTTCACTGAAATGAATGGAGACACTATTTTAGACACAATTAACCCTAAAAATGTTGAAAGGGCAGTATTCCCCGTAAATACATAAACATCAGTAAAACAAAAAGGAGAGAGGAAGTCTCGCAACATTCGACACAAACAAAAATACTTTTGTAGATGAATGGACCCAGTACCGTAAAATACCATTCATATGTTTTGTTCATTTCAAAGTGTCATGCATACGAGACTTATTCTGGCAAATGTCTGGTGGCATTGAGAAATTCACTGAATGATTGTAGGATACTGATTGTAAAATGCACACAAAATAATTCCTTTTGTCCAAATTATTGTAACATTTGATTTTGTGTTCAGTTAGGACTGACTATTGTTGTGAGCTGAAAAGCAAACGCGCTTCTAATTGTAGGGATATATCCGTAGTCCATTGGGACTTGTGCGAAGCGATTGCGAAATTGTATGGATATCCGTAGTCCCTTGAGACTTGTGAGAAGCGATTGCGCTTCTAATTGGAGGGATATCCGTAGTCCCTTGGGCTGTGAGAAGCGATTGCGTTTCTAATTGTATGGAGAGCTGTATAGTCTTGTAATGATTATAACTGTTAGCATGTAAGATATAAATGATTATAACACCATGCTTGTAAAAAAAAAATCTTTAAATGCTGTTTGATATGGAAATTGGAATTTTCTAAAACGAGTCTGACGGCCATGAAGAACTTAGAGTAAAGGGCGGATCCAGGGTGGGGGGCCAAAGGGGGCCATGCCCCCCCCCCTCCGAAAAAAGAACCCAATTTTTGCTTTTAAGTGACGTCGCAATAAAGGCAGGCAATGAGTACACTACCGTCTTTTCCTAAAAAAAAAAACATTGGTTAAAGTGGTCAGAAATTGCCTCAGATCGCACCACTCAGCATCTAGAATCCAAACTTTTTCGCGGCCCTTAAGCGGGCCCCGAACCCCACGCCGTCATTTTTGTTGGGCCCACTTTTTAGGGACCAAATTTTTGGGGGGCACCCCAAATAATTGTGTTCTGGAGCCGCCCTTGCTTAGAGTAGGCCTATATTTATAGAAGGCTACACTTTGGTGTTGATCAAAACTTCACCTGTTTTTGCAAAATTAATGAAACAGTCTCACCGAAAATGTTCATAACACACCAAAAGAGTCCCTGATCCGATTGACTCGGATTCCGAGGTCCGTTTGGCCAAAAACTTGACACTTCTGTGGATTATTTTTCGGATCATTTGACCCGGTTACCTTGGCAACACCTCTGGGTCATTTTGTCCCAGAAGTGTCAATTTTGACTGAAAAGTATTAGACCTGGGCCTTTTTAGGAACGTCGGCAGGTTACCGAAGTTGGGAAAACACCTTGCATCCAAAATTGAGCATCTATAGGCATTTTCCCCGCTGAAGATCAAGCTGTCGTAACATTTCTGTGGACTTGAACATCCCACTTCGTTCTTAGCATCCATTATTGGGTGAAACCAGCAGGTTTAAGTCAACATTCATTTAATTCCCCAATCGATCCGATCGAGTGCAGTCCAAATGCGAACTGAAAACTATACAAGTTCACATTGACCAGTTCGGCATGATTATAAGTTCTCATGACATTTTCAGTTCAAATCTGGCTGTTTTTGACATTATGGGAGGCGGGAGGACCACAGGATGATATCTTACTGTCGAAGAGATCCTGAGATTGTCTTAAAGAGGAGAGACGCTCAAATCAAGAAGCATTTGGCCTACTAAAAGAAGTCAACAGAAAGACCATAGAAATTAGAACACTGTCGGTGTCGTTAAAGCATGCACATGCAGCAAAACGTCACTCTGTATAGATGGATTGCATTCAGCAGACATCTTTGGGGTGTGTTTTGTTATGCTAATTCATTCACAACGAATGCACAAGAGGCTGGTCCACTCATGCGCACTCCTGTTGAACAAAAACACGCACTTCAAACATGGTTGCACTCAGTGGCGTAGCCACCGGGGGGCGTGGGGGGGGGCGACCTTGGGGGCGACCCAAGGGGCGACCTTGAAACCTTGTCGCCCCCCACCCAGTCGCCCCCCCCCCCCTGAGATTTTGAGTTTCTAAAAAAATTATCATTGATCTACATGACGCCATGGGCCCTATACAATGTATCTTTTGCTTAGAAAATATTGGTTAAAGTGGTCAGAAATTGCCTCAGATAGCACCACAGAGCATTTAGAATCCGAAATTTTTCGGGGCCCTTAAGCGGGCCCCGAACCCCACGCCTATAGCTCAAAATTCTTGTAGCTGATTCAATGACTCCAACCTCGAAAACAATGTTCACAAAATTTTCTTATGCCTTTAGCTGAGAAAACCTCGAAAATTATGTTTAAATTATTATCTTTTGTGCTAAGATAATTATTGGTTAAAGTGGTAAGAAATTGCCTCAGATCACACCACAGAGCATCGAATACCGATAGCTGATTCAATGTCTCCAGCCTCGAAAACGATGTTCAAATAATTATCTTTTGCCAAGAAAATATTAGTTAAAGCATGGAGGAAAGTCGTAAGAAATTGCTTCAAATCACACCACAGAACATCTAGAATCCAATTTTTTCGGGGCCCTTAACCGGGCCCCGAACACCACGCCGTAAGGGCTTCGCGCTTCGCGCTTGCATCAGTTCTGATCAAGGTATGTCCCCCCCCCCCACTTTTGAGAAGCGATTGACGCCCCTGCTTGACGCCTCCCCCCCCCCATGAAATGTTCCAGCCCCCCCCCCCCCCCAGCGCCCCCCCCCCCCCACTGAAAAATGATCCTCTAATTCATAGGCTATATTAATAACTGCCAAACAAAATATTTCAAAATTCGACAGACCATGATCTTTCCACTGATCAACGCGTGAAATAACGGTCAATGAGAATTAGGCCGTGTTTAATATAAGACTAGAACATTTTGAATGTCAATTTTCATCATGACTCGCTTTTTTTCCCGAGTTATAATTATACGTATTGATCTTTACAATTAGTAGTAGTTCAAGTCGCCCAAGCATAATAACGTCATTAAACAAACACATAAGTCGCATTATAATGCTTTTTTTAAGTAGAGATAGTTCGCATCTTCATCATAAAAGTACTACGGCTTTTTGTACCTCTCGAAACTGTCATCTTACCTGGATGAGAATCAATACACCAGCCATGGCCATCAGCTTCCTGGGACTGATCCACTTAGGACGTCTGACTGACACCCTACTGGCCTTGAAGATCCTGTAGATACGGTTAACCTTCAGGAGAGTTGGAGCATAGGTCAGGGTGAAGCTGAGAGAGATGGTAGCCTCAGATGCTAGACATGTCCCCTGGCTTGGTTTGATGAGGAGCAAGAAGACCGCCAGAAAGGCAAGAATCACACCAACCAAGACGATACTGCTCAGTTCACGACTCGCAGCCTTGATCAGAGGCTTGGCGTTGTAGTGGATCAAGCCGGCAGCCGTCAAGATTGTCAAGAGAAGCCCGATGATGGAACACAGGAGGAGGATGATAACTATGGGGTCCTGGAAGCTAAGAGTGCTGGGGAGGATATCTTCACAGCCACTGCGATTAGAGTTAGGCCAGGTTGTGAATTCACATGTCACGCACTCACTGCTGTTGACGACGATTTCATTGTCATTGCAGGGCTGACACAGCCAGCAACACTTCTCCTGGGAGGGAACCAGTATGAAGCCAGGGGAACAATCGGGGATGCAGGTGGACCGAGGCACCTCCAAGGAATCACCTTGCCATCGGATCAGATCATCTTGAAGATATAACCTTGTTGTTGCTATCTGCGAGTCCCACAGTCCAATCTCAACGCTGCCGTACTTTCCGTTTTCCATCTTCTGATAGTTCTTGAGGATGTATTTTCCAGGTGGATCGGCATTTTCATCAAAGAAAAGCAATCCACCTGTTCCAGTGAAGTTGACTCTAAGCAGGTGGGGCTTCAGCATTTCTCCAGATGCACCTCCAATGGCTGGGCAGTCTGACCTCTCGGGACACAGTTCAGCGACCAGGGAATCGAGAGCGTGCGCAAAGGCATAGACACCGTCTACGACCGGAGACACCACATAATCACTACTTGGGTGATCGGGAAAAACTCCCGATCGTTTGGTCTGAGTGTAATTAGTGAACCACGGACTGACAGAGTCTGAAGCCGGGTTTAATCTCGCGAAATGATCGTCGAATGACGGGACAGTCTGACTGAAGAATCGGGTAAAGAGAGAGCCCTGTGCGATGTCTCCCAAGCCCCGCTCGGTCAAATCAAACCCCCAATCATCACCTCCGATCCAGGTAATGTTAAGACCTGGCTGCTCACTCTTGACATGGTCCAGAACAGCATTGGCTACCTGTAGAGCTGCGAACATCACGACTGTCTTAGCGTATCTGTACCTGACAAGTTTAGCCACGACCTCGGATAACTCTTTCTGTGTGGGGTTTTCATTAACTGGCAAAGTGAAGGCGATGCAGATGCCCCTCTGCTCGGCAAGAACAAGCAACTCTCTGGCGCCGTGCAAACCATAGCTATCCACCGAATGAATGAGGGCAATGTAGTTCCACTGGAAGCGAACAATCATGTCCACGATGGCGCTGATTTGATGTCGATCGGGTGGGACGGTACGGAGAAAATATGGAAACCTGGCTTTATCACTGAGCTCATTACTTGAAGCCCAGAAGGACATGATTGGTACTTGAAAGAGACCTGTGAGCTGAGCCACTGGGATGCTTGTGGCGCTCCTGGACGTTCCAATTATTCCAATCACCTCGTGCTCTGAATGACTAGTAGATAAGGTGAGGTTGGATTGCAGAGGCAAGACCGGGCAGGCATCTTTGAAAGCATCTGGGGAGATATTCTCCAGCAACATGAGTGACATCCAGAGTGCCACGTCTTCGCTACGGCAATCATCCCTGATGTCAAATCCTAAGGTGATGTTGGGTAAGATGTCGTCTCGACTGTTGATGTCTCTGATTGCCCACACCATTGCTTCAGCGTGGACTACTCCACGCGGACTGATCTCCGTGTCACAGTTTTCGGAGATGCTACCGTGAAGTGACAATAATGCACCCAGGGTGAAATCCCCCAGCTCACGGTACGCCGTGCACGCCACCGCGTCATCGGCGGAGCTAAAGCGCCGAAACACGGTCAACACGACCAGCCAATACACGGTGGATCCAATCATTGCTACTATGCCGTCTCACAGACTGCCGGAGAAAAATGCACGAATCGGTCTGCGCGTGCAAGCCAAAATCTCAACTTATCAAAGCTTCCAAAAATGATTAGGACAAGTAGTCAGCCACTCACGGGGCGTGTCTTATAACGCGCACAGGTACATCATTAATAATGTATACTAGCTTCTTCATTCATATTTGTTGCAAATGTTCGGCGGTAAATTGGCGCAGACCAGGATTTTAACGGGCGACGTCTCAACATGCCTTTATCATGCAAATAGAGGCAAGTCTGTCACCAAATATTCGTGCATGACGACGGCGAGATCTCGTGGTATGATCCAATCCAGTAATGTTGCAAAACTGATCTAAAGACATATGCCCTATGCACAATATTTACTAGCATAATTATTCGCTTTAATCGGTATGGGAATATACACATGTGTATTTTATACCTTCAGGCTCAGGTCACGAAAGCCATTAATTTGTATAGTAAAAGAAACGATTCGAACAATGATCCCGTGTTTTTTCCCAAGCCAACCAACCAAATATTGAATTTTGATGAAGCAAGTTTGTGAAGGACTCTACATGATAATTAGCCATTTAACATGCATGTATAATTGTACCACCAGTTTGCAAACACGAAACGTGAAAACCTGCCAGCATAAATAAGAAAAATTCTAATTACTGTATATGCAGTGTCAGAGATCGCCTCGTTCCCTCCTCGTTGCTTTCAGCGCTCTTGCAGACCGGGGGTGGACGGGACGGGAGAGGGTAACTCATTTTCAAGGAGAGGAATATACGCCAATTAAGAAAAGACCCTCTTACCCCATCTCCAATTGATCCATATTGACATAATAGGGGATCCCAACTTTCGTTGTTTAAGTTAATTTCCTAAACAACGTCACTCATATCGGGAGGGTCGCTAGACCACTTTGAATAGAGGGACAACAAATTTACCGCCAGACCGTCAGTACTGAGTATTTGTTTTCGCAGTTAACCCGGCCTCCGTAAAATCGAAAAGCGGAGGGGGCGGGGGAGGGGGGAGCTTGAGACCATTTTCCTACAGGGGTGCTGTTCAAAGCGGACGATCAGGGGTGCAGCCAAGTGAAGCGGCCTACAATCCGTCTGCCGGACTCTACCAAGTTCATGATTATTATTGTTATACATTGAAGTTATTTATATTAGAGAGAGTCTTTGGGTGAGAATTTCTCCAAAAAGTCATTGGTCAACCCATCAAAAATTGAAAGGACAATGAAAGACGACATGCTGATCATCAATTTTTTTTTTTCTGTGCTGTTCAAAGCGGGCGATCAGTGACACTATGCAACAATGGGTGGCGCTCTTTATCCCGGCACATGTTACCGACGGATACGAGACTTTGCCGACAGAAGACGATCGGACGAAACGATTATGGGGGGGGGAGGGGGGTTCACCCCCACGCTCTATATAGCGACACCTTCGCTTAATATCTACAAACCTTCATTCATTGCTTCAGGCATTTTATGTTTTTATGCGTTGACTGCAACGTCTCGTACCTCCCAAAATCTTCGACTCCATCACCATCTCCTACCACCTCCCTCCCCCGTCCCCCGGAAAATCATGGACCCGCCCCTTTGTAAATACTGCGTGATTATGATAAATTGTAGTCGTTACAGAAACCTTTGAAATTATAACAGGCATACGGGATAAATTTCATTCAATGTTCGCACAAAGTGTTTTTGTGGGTGTTTTTTTATTCCAAAAGGAAACAAGGATTACATTTATCCTACAGTCACGTGATCCCAAATAAAAGGATATTGCAAGTTACCATTTAAATATACATAAAGCGGCACGTAGCTGCCATCTCAAAGGGCATCTTTTGTTTTTATTTAAGTTACAATGAGTGCACGAGAGGTTCACTCATGCAAATCCCAATAAAACAAAGGCATTGCTCTCTGAGATGGCTGTCACGCAACAGTCTAACTATTTGTTTGTTTGTTTTTGCTTTACCTTATTAATGCATTTAAACAAAAACAAAAATGTTCTCAGCCAAAAAGCCAGGATTTTTTTAAATTGCTACAGCTATCAATGGCTACCCATCCTCACGTTTCCTTGTCCTTTTGTGATTACAGTTTGCAATTTATACCGCGCTTTATCACATGACACTATCTCGAGGGAGATCGGAATTCAATTATTAAATTTGACATCAAGTTGGAGCCGGATTAATCCGCTTTTATTTTGCACTTTTACCGATGCTATAGGTTAACCTTAATTTCCTCTGAATTGAAAAGGGTAAAATATAGTTGGCTGTTTCGTATTTTATATTTCGCTAATCATTATAGTCCAGTGAAGTACTCGCTAAACAAGTCTCATTTTTTGTCCATTACGAAAATGATAAAAACGCCCTCTATCGACGGTGTGAATATTGAGGGCGCCCTATAACAACGCAACAACAAAATAATATGCCTAGTGTGTGTGTTTCAGAGTTCATTACTGTCACGTGCGATTTTTGCGATCTTAAATGTGTTGGCGCGGCTCAGATTTTTAGTACAGACGAAGTACCACAAGTTTGACACCTCTTCCTCTTGGTTTGAAGGGAAAAGAAGATATCTTTACCATGCCTGGAGAGTCGAAGATTGGTTGAATCGTCCGCTGGACATCGTTCAGGGTTTATTTGGTGAGGAAATCATGTATTTCTTGACAAATTTAGATTCCTTTGGTTTTTGTGTGTTATCAGTTACACAGTCATTTATTAATCCGGGTAAACATGGTATTAGTAGGCTTAAAAAGACGTTTACAAACAGAACTCTGTTCCGAAAACTACCATTAAACTCTTTGTTCTTTCTTTCCGCTAGTCGGAAAAGGTGACGGAATACTTCAGTATAAGAAACATACATCATTTGCTTACGACTCGCCTTGTCAGCGTTTTCACGAAGGGACGAATTCGGCTAAAAATCCATTTTTTTTCGAAATTGTTGTTTTCCGGACGAAATTGGTTAAGTGAACAGCATCGAACGTATTGACAAGTTTTTCGGGTCGAACTCAGTTTAAATCAATAAAGTCATGACAATCAATATAGGGAAAATTTCACCGGAATTGCATTTTCAGTTTTCACGAACAGACAAATTCAAACTTTATTACGTTGTTCTATGGGGCAAAAACAACGCAATAAAGGCGTTTGAGTTTTCACGAAGAGACAAATTTAATTTGCCCGGGAAAACAAGGCGCGTGTGGGATTCTAAGTTTTCACGAGAGACGAATTTAGCGCACAATATAAGAGCAAATTACCCGGCAAAACAACGCGCGTGTGGGATTTTGAGTTTTCACGAACACACCTCTATGGAGATTAATTACTCCGCTTTTAATTATTCTATTGTACTGTAATTGATACATCTTTGAAGTTTTGATCTCAGCTTACTATCTGTATCAAAAATTAGTCAACTTGTGCTCCAAATATAGGCGAAATCTTTATTTCAAAAAGTGACCAACTTAAAACCCGATTTTCTCAAAATCACTGTTCAACACCCTGTGGCTATATTCGTCCCTTCGTAAAAATGTTGACAACATGTGGAGCTTTTCGAGAAACTTTGTCTTGACCGAGAGAAGTGCATGAGAGCTGAATTGTATTCCGGAAGAGACATTTTGTGAATGTTCTAGACGTAGTTATTGATAGTAAACTTTCTTGGAAGTAACATTGCCAAAAAGTCTTAATGTCACTTCCTCGGAACCAGGGTATCTTACGGAAAACTAAAACACGAATTACAGATATCTTATTTTCAATTCATAAAACCTTATACCTGCCTTACCTTCAATATGATATTTTAATAAATTGTAATATTATGCAAAAGAAAACACTTAAGATAATTAATAACTCCAGATATACATGTACAGAACATACAGCACAACTGTGTAGTAATTACAATACCTTATTTGTTTTTGACTTGGATAAATATACCATCTTGGTGTATCAGTGTATAAATTTGAAACAAACAATCGACCCAAAACTATACATTCGCTATATTCGCTATTTAAGAAGAACTCGGATATTCATTATCATAATAAAAAGTCAGCCTCAAACCTTCATCTCCATCAAGCTAGAACATCTCTTTACTCATCAACTGCCAGAAACCAAGGACCTCTATTGTGGAACCATTAACCAATGCCCATCTTTAAATCAATGAAACACTTCAAAAACTACCTGAAAATTACACTGATAATTAAGTATCCAAGTAAATACTCAATTTCATGTCATCTCACGGATTGTTGAAACAGAATTTTAATGTTATAATTCATTGACCACTTTTTGCTCCTTTCCCTCTTCCTTCCTGTTCAGTCTTATTGTAATTAATTGATTACTTTCCTTGTAGTGTATGGATATAAAAACGTAGTATATGTCTATTGATATAATGTGAATATTTGCTGTTGATTTAATTTCTTTCAATTTAATTAGTATACAATCATGTATTCACCTGATATAATTCAGCCTAGTGTATGTACATGAGTTTATTAGCTTAATTTGTAATTTATTAGCTTAATTTGTAAAATTGGGACTGTAGCATCTACATTTATAGAAACTGAAAAAATGCATGACGCAAAAGAGACATATTGTGCCAAAAACGACCTCTCAAATCCAAAATACATGTGGATAGTAATAAGTTTGTGACGGTCATTCGATAAAAACTGAAAGTTAAATAAGAGACTAAAATGTTTTTAGAATATACAATTTATTTTATTCAACTTGAAGCATTCATTACCATTTACAAACAAATATAAAATGACAGTTGATAAGAACTGTATTCAAGCAAGCCCGACTAAATGTAGAACCCATCGACTTTGGGTATATAACAGATAAATCTTCGCGTCGATATCATTTTCGTTCTCAGGTAAGTACACGATGTGAAAACAAACGTGAACGAACACAGGAGACCCGGGAACAAAAATGCCGGATGTGAAAGGTCGTAAGTAAAATTCGTTTTTACCCATCTCCAACTGATTTCTCATCATTTTTTCTTGTGAAAAGCCAAGATAAACTTCCATCATGAATGTTTCTTTTGGTAATTACGGCTAGAAGTCATTCAGTGTCAAAAACTAAAGCAAGAGAAAGACCAACCCAGTGTAAAATACCCATATGCG